GACAGCGCTGCGGGGACAGCGCTGCGGGACAGTGTCCTGGGGGGACAGCGCTGCGGGGACAGTGTCCTGCGGGACAGCCCTGGGGGACAGCGCTGTGGGGACAGTGTCCTGGGGGGACAGCGCTGCGGGACAGTGCCCTGTGGGACAGCCCTGGGGGACAGCGCTGCAGGGACAGTGTCCTGGGGGGACAGCGCTGCGGGGACAGCCCTGCAGGGACAGTGTCCTGGGGTACAGTGTCCTGGGGGACAGTGTCCTGGGGGGACAGCTCTGGGGGACAGTGCCCTCGGGTTGGGTGGCGGCTCCCCCCTCCCCCTCCCCCTCCCCGTCCCCCCCACCTCCGGCTCCCCAGACTGGGAAGGAGGGAGGAAGTGGAGCCCGGATCCATCCAAGCTGCTGGAATAGGGAGCAGGTTTCCCGGTTTCCTGGACGGCTCCCACCCACCGCGGTGGCAGAGCCATCGTGTCCCCGGACACCGGTGTCCCCCCATGGAACAGCGGTTGTCCCTGCTCTGCGGGCGCCTTTGGGCACAGGGGCGATCAGGGACCCCCTGGGGACCCAGAGCCCGGGGACAATCCCAGCCGCGTCCTCCCCCCGTCCCATGGCCTTGACTCACACACCCTGTCCCACAACGAGCGGGGAGGGGGCTGCTGAGGGGCCCAGGTGTCCGGGGGGCACGGGGGGTCCCGGCGGCGGCTGCAGCCCCCGCGCGCTGCCCGCAGCCATGGAGGTGTCGGCCTCGCGGCTGGACGCGGCCGCCGCCGGGGACCTGGTGCTGCTCGACCCGCTCAGCGAGGAGTCGCTGCTGGGCGCCCTGCAGGAGCGCTTCCGCAACGGGGACATCTACGTGGGCACGGGGGCCGGGCGGGGGACATGGGGACCGGGCGGGGGACGTGGGGACACGGGGCAGGGGACATGGGGACATGGGGCGGGGAGGTGGCACGCGGGGAGGTGGGGGAAATGGGGGGTATGGAGGGGTTGGGATGGGGAGATGGGGGATGCAGGGGTGGGATGGGAAGGGATGGGGAGAAGCAGGATGGGGGTCTGGAGGATGAGGGGTCTGGAGGATGAGGATGGCTCCTGGGACCAAGATGGGGAGCACAGAGGTGCAGGGGTTGGGGATGGGGTAAGAGGATGAGGAGGGGCTCGGATGGGGGATGCAGGGGCTGGGGATGAAGGTCAGAGGATGAAGAGGGGGTTGGGCAGGGGAGGGGGGTGCAGGGGCTGGGGATGAAGGTCGGAGGATGAAGAGGGGCTCAGGCAGGGAATGGGGGGTGCAGGGGCTGGGGAGGGGGCCCTGCACGCACCGTCGCGCCTCCCCCCCAGACCTACATCGGCGACGTGGTGGTCTCGGTGAACCCCTACCGCCCGCTGCCCATCTACACGGCCGAGACGGCGCAGCAGTACCGCGGCTGCGGCCCCTTCGCGCTGCAGCCCCACATGTGAGCGGGGCGGCTGCGGGGGGGGACAAACGGGGGGGACAACAAGAGGGCATGACCCCCTCTTGTCCCCCCCCCCAGTTACGCCATCGCCGACGCCGCCTACGTCTCGCTGCGCGACCACGACCGCGACCAGTGCATCCTCATCACGGGCGAGAGCGGCTCCGGCAAGACAGGTAGCGCCGGGGGCGGACAGGGGGGCACGGGGGGGCACCCCCATGCACTGACCCCCCCCCGCAGAGGCCAGCAAGCTGGTGATGTCCTACGTGGCCGCCGTGTGCGGCAAGGGCCATGAGGTGACCAAGGTGAAGGAGCAGCTGCTTCGATCCAACCCGGTGCTGGAGGGTGAGTGCCGGGGAGGGGGCCTTGCAGCTGGCCCCCCTCCACGGCAGCTCCCCCATCCTCATCCTCCTCTTCCGCAGCCTTCGGCAACGCCAAGACCGTCCGCAATGATAATTCATCCCGATTCGTGAGTGGGGCGGCGGGGGGGGTGGCGGGGCTGGCCCCCCCCCCAGCAGAGCCGCCCCCACGGGCTCCGCTCCGCAGGGCAAATACATGGATGTGGAGTTCGACTTCAAGGGGGAGCCCCTGGGAGGCGTCATCAGCAACTGTGAGCGGCACTGCGGCGCCGGGGGGGTCCCGATGCGCCCCCCCCCAACGCTGACCCCCATTCCCGCAGACCTGCTGGAGAAATCCCGCGTCGTGCGGCACGCGCCGGGCGAGAGGAACTTCCACATCTTCTACCAGCTGCTGGCCGGCGCCCCGGACGAGCTGCTCCGTAGGTGCCGGCGCCGGCGGGGGGAACAAGGGACCGTTGCGGACGCTGACCCCCGTCCTGCCCCGCGTGCCCCCCAGAGCGGCTGCGGCTGCGCCGGGACTGCGGGCACTACGGCTACCTCGGCGCCGAGGGCGGCAGCCCGCGCGCCGGGGACGATGCCGCCAACTTCGGCGCCGTGCAGGTAGCGGGCGGCGCGGGTGCCCCTCGCGCCGCGTCCCGCCCCGGCTCCGTGCCTCCATCCCCGTCTGATGCCGGCCCCGTGGCCAGGACGCCATGGGCGTCATCGGCTTCTCGCCCGACGAGGTGTCGGCGCTGCTGGAGGTGACGGCCGCGGTGCTCAAGCTGGGCAACGTGCAGCTCAGTGACCGCTTCCTGGCCGGCGGCACCGAGGCCTGTGGCATCTCCGAGCCGCGAGGTACCGGGAATGGCGACGGGATGGGACGGGGACCGCGCTGGGTCCCCGCTCGTCCCCAGCGCCGCTGCTGCCCGTGCAGAGCTGGAGGAGATCTGCGAGCTGGTGGGGCTGGAGGCCGGCGCGCTGGAGCGGGCGCTCTGCTCCCGCACCGTGCGGGCGCGCGGCGAGGCCGTGCTCACCACCCTCAGCGTGGCCCAGGTGCGTGGGGACGGGGCTGGCACCCGCGCCCTCCGCTGTCCTCCCTGCCCGCTCTGTCCCCAGCTGCGCTCTCGTCCCAGGGCTACTACGTGCGGGACGCGCTGGCCAAGAACATCTACAGCCGCCTCTTCGACTGGCTCGTGAGCCGCATCAACAGCAGCATCCAGGTGAAGCCGGGCCAGCAGAGGAAGGTCATGGGCGTCCTGGACATCTACGGCTTCGAGATCTTCCAGGTGAGCGGGGTGCCGGGGCGGCGCAGGGACCGGGGTGGCCCCGTGGGGCTCTGGCCGTCACCGTGTCCCCGCTCCGTGCAGCACAACGGCTTCGAGCAGTTCGTCATCAACTACTGCAACGAGAAGCTGCAGCAGGTCTTCATCCTGCTCACGCTCAAGGAGGAGCAGGAGGAATACGTGCGCGAGGTGCGTGCGCGGCGGGGAGGCGGCGGGGGGCTCGGCAGGGCGGCCGCTCCGTGCCCCGCCGCGTCTGCAACGGGGGGCACCACCTGACCCCCCCGCTCCGCTCCCAGGGCATCCAGTGGAGCCCGGTGGAATTTTTTGACAACAGCATCATCTGCGACCTCATCGAGAACGTGAGTGGGTGGGCGCGCGGGTGGGCACCCGTGGGCGCCGCGGTGCCGACGGGCCGCGCGCGCCGCAGGGCTCCCGCGGCATCCTGGCCATGCTGGACGAGGAGTGCCTGCGCCCGGGCGCCGCGAGCACCGACACGCTCCTGCGCAAGCTGCAGCAGGCGTGCGGCGCGCACGGGCGCTACGAGAGCCGCGAGACGCACAGTGCCCGCCGCCTGCACGACGCCAGCCTGCCCGCCGGCTGCTTCCGCGTCCACCACTACGCCGGCAAGGTGGGCGCCGCGCCCGGGGGGGCTGCGCGGGACCCCGTGCCGGCTCCCGCTGATGCCCGTCGCCCAGGTCACCTACGACGCGTCGGGCTTCGTGGAGAAGAACACGGACCTGCTGTTCCGCGACCTGTCGCAGGCCATGTGGGCGGCGCGGCAGCCGCTGCTGCGCGGGCTCTTCCCCGAGGGCGACCCGCGCCGGGCATCGCTCAGGCTGCCGCCCACGGCCGCCTCGCAGGTCAAGGCCTCGGTGGGCGCTCTCATGCGCAACCTCTACTCCAAGAACCCCAATTACATCAGGTAGGAGGTGCGGGGCGCGCGGCGGGGTGCCCGGCGCCGCGGGCGCCGCCAGCCCCGCGCTCGCGCTGCCGCCCAGGTGCATCAAGCCCAACGAGAGCAAGGCGCCCATGGTGCTGGTGCCGGAGCTGGTGCTGGCGCAGATCCGCTACCTGGGGCTGCTGGAGAACGTGCGCGTGCGCCGCGCCGGCTACGCCTTCCGCCAGCGCTACGGGCCCTTCCTGGAGCGCTACAAGATGCTCTGTGCCCGCACCTGGCCGCGCTGGGAAGGCGGAGAGAGGCGCGTTGGTGGCGGGGGGACACGGCGGGCGTGGGGCACGAGGGGACGCAGGGCACGAGGGGATGTGGTGCAATAGGAGATGTGGTGCTATAGGGCACGCGGTGCAACAGGGGATGCGGGGCATGAGGGGACATGGTGCATGGGGGAAGGGGGTGCATGGAGGAAGGGGGTGCACAGGGGAAGAAGGTGCATGGAGTGAAGGGGGTGCAGGGGGGAAAGGGGTGCATGGGGAAGGAGGTGCATGGGCAAGGGGGTGCACAGGGGAAGGGATGAACAGAAGAAGGGGGTGCATGGGGAAAGAGGTACATGAAGGAAGGGGGTGCATGAGGGAAGGGGGTGCACGGGGGAAAGAGGTGCATGGGGGAAGGGGATCCATGGTGGGACGCGGTGCATGGGGGAAGGGGGTGCATGGGGAAAGGGGGTGCATGAGAGAAGAGGGTGCATGGGGGAAGGGGGTGCATGGGGAAAGGGGATCCATGGTGGGACGCGGTGCATGGGGGAAGGGGATGCACGGGGCAAGGGTGTACACGGGGGCCATGGTGCACACAAGCCCCCGCTGCCCCCTCACGGCGCAGGCAGCACTCACGGTCCTGTGTCCCCGCGGTGCAGGGCCGGCGTGGAGACGCTGCTGTCGGAGCTGCCGGTGCCAGCGGAGGAGCTGGCGTTCGGGCACAGCAAGCTCTTCATCCGCTCGCCACGCACCGTGAGTGGCAGGGGGCACGGGGACACGGCCGGGGGCACCCCAGCCCCGTCCCCATCCCGACCCGTGGCTCTGGGCAGCTCTTCGACCTGGAGCGGCGGCGGCAGGAGCGGCTGGCGCAGCTGGCCACGCTCATCCAGGCGGCCGTGCGCGGCTGGCGCTGCCGCACGCGCTTCCAGCTGCTGCGCAGGAGCCAGATCCGCATCGCCGCCTGCTTCCGCGGGCACGCGGTAACCACGGCGGGGCCGCGGGCTCCCCCCGGCCACCGGGACCCCCCAGTGTGGGGAGGGGTCGTCTGCGCCCGCCTGGGCCCCGTGGCTGCACTGCTGGCCAGCACAGCGTGCACGGATGCTCGGGGGCATCTGTGGGGTGCATGGGTGTATTGGGGTGCACAGGTGTATTGGGGTGCACAGGTGCGGTGGGGTGCATTGGGGTGCGTGGGTCCACTGGGATGCACAGGTGCCGTGGAGTGTACAGGTGCATTGGGGTGCACTGGTGCATTGGGGTGCACAGGTAAAGTGGGATGCATGGGTGTGTTGGGGTGCAGTGGGGTGCACAGGAGCATTGGGGTGCACTAATGCAGTGGGGTGCGCTGATGCAGTGGGGTGCACAGGTGCAATGGGGTGCACAGGTGCATTGGGTTGCCCGGGTGCATTGGGGTACATTGAGTTGCCCGGATGCATTGGGTTGCATTGGGTTGCACGGGTGCATTGGGGTGCCCAGGTGCAGTGGGGAGCCCGGCATGCTGCGATGCCCCCATGCCATGGGGTGCCCCCTTGCCGGCGCCCCCGGTGCCCGCTCAGCCCTTGCCCCGCTCTGCCCCCAGCAACAGCGGCGCTACCAGCAGATGAGGCGCTCGGCGCTGCTGCTGCAGGCCCACGCGCGGGGCTGGAAGGTGAGGCGGGCGCCCGCGCCCCGAGCCAGCCCCAAGCGGGCGCCCACCTGGCCCCGGGGCCGCCTGGCGCCCCCCTTCCTTCCTTCCTTCCTTCCTTCCTTCCTTCCTTCCTTCCTTCCTTCCTTCCTTCCTTCCTTCCTTCCTTCCTTCCTTCCTTCCTTCCTTCCT